TTCTATTGCGTTAAGAGTGTCGCGGTCACAATACTCGCAATTAGGTATATACAGTCACCGAAATAATCTTAGATTCGCTATTAACTTTCGACAGTTTGTTACTTTCATTTTTACTTCTTTTATAAAAGATGCACTGCGATTTTTATTATTCATTTTTTAGCATGTGTCCTTTCCAATGTTCCGTCAGTTACTTGCGTTTCAATCGCGTGTGTGAACAGTCGTTGTTTGATAAGAAATTTTCTTAAAAGTGCCGAATAAATAATCTTAGGTTCATATGACATTATTAAAGAATTTTTTTTCGACCGTGTGTATTTCAAGAGGTAAGTATAAGATTTTCTGATAATTTGCACATTTTAAAACATATTTTACGTTTATTTAAAGAAAGATAAGTCGTGAAAAACTACTAAATGATCTGAAAAAAGGATAGATTCCTGATCTTAAATAAATGGCTCTTACAAACTGAAAAATTGCAAAAAGGTATCAAAAGATTATCAAACGTAGCCCATCATTTTGTACAGTTGGGCGATAAGTACACCACAAAAAAATTTATGGGCCTTCTAGCGAAAATTAGTCGCATAGATAAAGGTAAAATTTTTCAACAAATGAAAGAAAAATTAGATTTGCCAGTTGTTGTTCGACGCAACAAAACAATAAATTTTAAAGATAAATTTTAAATGGAAAGATCAAAAAAGCCACCTGCAACGAAGATTCACAAAGAAGCAAAAATTTATATCTTTGTATAGAATTTCTATTATCAATAACAATAAAAATTACGACATTCAGTTGAAATATGCGTATTCTTAATCCCATCAAAATGAGGTCAAAATGAAAAAAGAAAGAAATATTATGTCAAACAGAGAAATGTGTTGAAACCTAAGATTATTTGACTGTTTGGAAATTGTTTGCTTCGCTGTAGCTGCTAAAGTCAAAGCTAAGATAGGAAAAGTAGTTTGCATGGCCCGTTATACAACAGAGTGGGAACTAATTTTCATGATGAAGGAACCGGCAGACTGAATGTCGGAGTAGGGAGGAAAAAGTGTAAGTGAGCTCGGTCGGTTCACGATTCGTTGGCAAACAGCGAGCGCGCGATAACGCGTGTGCGTCAGACGCGATCGGACAATAATTGTAAATTGACAAATTGCGGCGGCAAAGGGGCCGAGAAAGCGAGGCCGTGTCGGCTCGCGAGGCGGAGAAACGTGTCAACGGCAAACGGCGCGCAATTAATCAACGAGGCAATTCATCTTAATGATCGAGCTAAGGCAACTCGCTGGCTTTCATGCCCGTAACGTAGGCGCAGCCAGAGGGGCCCGGACTATATGCGATGTGTTTATTACTCCTCTCGATGTACATGACCGTGTGCACCCTTGTTACATGGTACATAAGCCCATTGTTTTCGCGGCGGCTGATTTAGCCACGGTGAAACTGCTCCCCGACCGGAGTCGTTTTCAGGGTTCAATTGCTGAAACTAGCTTTATCGGTCGTCGCCGCTCTAACCTTCTTTCTCACGAATAAACATCGCTCCGAAGTGCCGCGCGTTACACGAACGTACGATTTCCCTTCGTTTCGTTGATAAGCGGCCGCGTTTCCCACGCGCAGAGAAGTTAACTCCGCGTTTCTCTCGTGGAAGCTTCTGTAAAAGCAGAAAGCTCTTTTCCAAAAGTACAACAGCCCGATGGAGTCGGGTGCGTTCGAACGAATCGATTGAAACTCTTCGAAACAAACGGAAAGTAATCGTTGAATGTTTGACGAGTTCGAAACGAGCGTTCGCTGGAAGAACGTTTATTATGCATCACGTTCGATATTAACAGCTTTCCTTGTTTAACGATTAAAGTACAAATATTTTATACGATTTATCTGATTTTATTTGAATTTTATTTTGCTTTAAAATTTGAATTTATAAAAGGTCTCTGGGAAAAAGTGATTCGCGAAGTATGAAACGATTTGTTCGTGTTTGATGTTCTCGCGGAATATCGCGTAGATTGGAAATCAATAAATATGTATTTATTGATTTATTTGTACCAAATACTGTGAAATAATTTCTTCTATTGTTAACTACCTGCTTTCGGCTCGTTTGTTGTTTAGCGTGTTCTAATTGGATAGTTATCACGGTAAAATAGTCGTCATTAATGCCACTGTACGCGATAATGTAATACATAATAGTGCGGTGTATAACCGGGAAAGTGGGTAAACAATTATTTATACACATCTGTTAATTAAAGAGTCTCACTCGCTCTGAGAAATTTCACAAAATTTCACTTAATATTCACAACCCCGATTTTTCGAAATTCATCGAGTATTCAGGATTATTGATACCGCGAATAATGGGTCGTTAATTATAAAATGCTACCTTCAAGGTTATTTTTATTTATTAAAAACTGGAAAATCGTTATTCCAACTATTTGAAGCTGAATAATCACGGTTGAATGGGCTGCTTTCAAAAGGAAGTGAAAATCGTCAGATCACACGCGTGCGCTTCTGAAACTGAACACGAATTAGCTACATTTCCCTTATATATATATTTGTAAAAATTTGGAAATTGTGCGAGAGATAGACTGATGCACAAAATCGGGGGAATCTTTATAAACGATATTGCTATTTAATTGGTCCCGTCACAAAACCGAAACTGTTTCTATCAGATATTGAAATCATCAAAACTTAACACTTGCGATAAACTAACCGATTTTCCGGTTCCAACGAACCTACAACTTTCCAGCGTTCCAGCGAAGAGAACAGAAAATAGGAAATCGCGATCGGACGAAAGATTCGCTCAACATTGGTGACGATCGTGGCGCGATACGACGATCCCGGGGCAGCATCCCCCTCGGCAACCCTCAATATTCGTGCCAATGAAATTCTGTTAATTGCACGATAGCATTCTAATAGGACCAGGTTACGACCAGACGGTCCGATGGGAATCGCAGATTACACCGATATCCGATGATTTCGATTGATACCGCGGTCGAAGACTCCATTCTACGTCGTTCACTTCAAATCCGAATGAAATGAAATCCGACAGGAGCGCGAGTTGCACGGCGGTTTTAAATTCGTACAAGGGCTCGATATCGTTCGTCCTCCAAATTGAAACGACTTCGATCCGTTTGACGGTTCAGGAAAAATTCTATTCATACTGCGATGGTGTTCAATTCGCGCCCAAGAATTTAAGGGGGGAGGGAGATAGGAAGCTCGAGAATATTTCGTTCGGACTAAAATCGCGATCGAACTTCCGGTTATTTCATTAATAAATGCGGCTGGTATTTTAGATGCGCCGAAGCGTTTCGCGATTTTTTGTTCCCTCTCTTTCTGTTTTTCTTTTTTTTTTTTTCTTTTTTTTCGTGCCAAACAGCCGGCGCTTGTAACGTTCGAATTCGAGTTCGTTTCATTGTTACCTGAGGTCCGCGCTACACATGGCTGGAATTCACGTTGGAAAATTCGCTCTTTCGTCCCGGCGATATTCAACGCGGAATGGGCGCGCGAAAAACTAACGCGCGGATCTTATGATTTCGCCGTTGTCGCGATAACGCTGTCCTCGGACACTGGTATTAACAGTGTCATCCCGCGCGTACGGTGAAAAAAGCGAAAAACAGCCCCGAACGAAGCGGGCGCGAGAATCTCGCGTGCAGATTTCGCAACAACGCGAAGAATTTCGCGAAAACAAACGACATTATCGATACACGTGGCTTACTCGTAGGTAACTTCGAACCACGTTAATTCCTTCGAATTCCGGGCGTAACGATTTTTTTTTACGAGTTGCGGAAAATGGAGAAAGACTCGGAGCGAGTTTCCCTGCACGGATGAGCATCGGGATTTTTCCTACAAACATTTTCGCCGGTTGATTTGCCGATCGTTTCGTTCGATGCTGGCCATTGCTCACGCTGTTCTCCGACATTACTTTCTTCGCAGACTGTCACGTTCGAGCTGATATCGCTGACAGTTGACAGATTTAAGTTCTTTTTCTTGTTTCTTTTTGTTTCTTTTTTTTTTTTTTTTTTTTTATTTTTTTCTTATTGGCGACGAAACGACACGTCGTGTCCCTGTTAATTTAACTGGACAATGCCGCATGAATTGCGCCATTTCGTTTCGCAGTCTCGTCCATGCAAACCAAGAGTTTCTAATTGCGTTTCGAGGTCGTTCGAGGTTTTGGCGAAATGTTACTGGCGAATTTCTAGGTTGACTCATAATGCACTTATCAAATAAGATAACTACGACTAGTAACTGAAGCGAACGCTAATTAGGAATTTGTCGACGTGACTCACGTTAGAATTGGATTCAATGATAAGTGTCCCTCTACCTTCCAAGATAACCGACTGTTCGTTCGGTATAAGGAAATGTAAATTCATTCAGCTCCGCTGAAAGAACTGTTTAAACAGAAATTATCGCTTTCAACGACGTTCATTGTTCGTATATACGATGAAAACTTATCGACATTTTAAACTGTTGTAACTTCGTGAAAAGAAATCGCAGAGCAATTTACCTTTTCCTAAAGATGTTTTCATTTTAAAGGGAGTATGAAAAGATACTTTTTCTTTTGAAAGTTATTAAAATTTCAACGCCTCTATGGACACTGAAAATTTCTTTTTATATCAAAATCCAATCATTTTGATTATAAAATTAAAGTCTTACCTTTACAATGAATCTTTAGAATTTGCTGTATAATGTTTTCTTTTTCACTAAGTTCTCAGAGTTTAAAGTATCGACAATTTTTCGTCGAGTTGGCACGAATTTTCCGCATTCGCTGAAATTATTCAAATCTTTAGAAAATACATCGTCGTAGATCCGCGAAGTTTGAAAAGTTACAAATTGGTTATTTCGTCCAATCTGGTGTTAAACGAGCGAAACGCGAAAGGTAGAAAGCAAAATAAAAGATGGCAATAATTCGAAAAAACGACAAGTACATCGGGGACGTGAACGCCATCAATTAAGTTTCAATTGATCGGGGACGAACGAGACGCGACTGCACGTAATCCTTTGCATTAGTTGTTGACGTTCGCGTATTTACTCACCCTGCTCCTGTGCCCAATTGATAAGGGACGGTACATGGGCATCATAACTGGAATAACAGTTCTCGAAGCGTGCAGAGGAGTCCAGGCCAACAGTCTCGTAATTGGCTTTAACTCCGCAGAGTAACGCCGTAGCGCATGCCGACGACTCTCCAACTTGGGCGTCCATGTTGTACGTCTGAAAACCAACGAGAATGCCTATTTTAATCAGTTTCATATACTCGCTGAGCTACGAGGAGAAATAAACCTAAATCACTCCTGTGGTGAAACGTCTTCGTCGAATAAACTCGAAAATCGTACAACAGTTATTAGACTTGCTCCAAAATTGAATCGTGTTGCAACATTCAATTTGACACCTTATCCGATAAAGAAAGTGTACGTAGGTATATTACAAATATATTTATAGTTCTGTCGAGAAGTTTTAAACTGATAAGTTAAGTTTGTGCTTTAAATATAGGTAAATTGTGGGAATTCATTAATAATATGCGCGGTCTTGGTGAATGTGAAACATGTATCTTTTTGCCAGGAAGGTTTATGGAATGTAGTTTAATTTACCCTATATATTCGCTCATTGTCTTAGGATAAGTATCATATTTATTCGAAAATGGAAAAAATAAAGTAATTACCTTGTATAACAAGGAATCCATGATGTTATAGTGCATTGACAATTGCATTCTAAAATATGTAACATGTACGATAAATACTGAGTAAAAAACGAAAGAGTTTTGAAACAAGAATTCTGTCATATTAAAAACGAAAGAGTTTTGAAACAAGAATTCTGCCATATCCGAGAAAGGAATTTACAAAGTTTTAAATAAATAAATCATAGAGATAAATGTAAAACAATCTGAAATAAATTATAACAAGTAATTATAATTTAACTTTTATAATTATAATATAGCTTAATATAATATATATAATTTAATTTAATTTATAATAATATAATAATATACTTAATTTATAATAATATTTAATTTAATTTATAATATATATATAATTTAATTTATTATAACATACCATAATTTAACTTTTTGTAATTATAATTTAACTTTTATAAAAATTATGTTACTTTTCATATAATTATAATTCCTGCAACATCATCAAGTCTATTTAGAACACATCGATTGTGATCTGAAGTGGTGAATTGTTTTTACTGTAATGTGATCAATAGTACAGAAGCGATAAGAGATACGAAACAATTGTCGTAAATAGACGTTAAAAATGACGAAACAAATTAAACAGTTTCAGCAAGTCCTCTACACATGATGTCATTTCAATTCTCTATCGATTTACACGCTGGATCTTTTTATCTGCCACGAAATGCCGCGCTTATCTCTCGAAGATGAAGGAAATATTTCGCAACCGACACAAACTCTCGTTTCTGTGGGTTGGCTCGTAAATTATTTCGCGCGTTGGTTGAGCGCATTATGCGTTATGATAATTGGCCTTTCTTTGGTGGTCACGGCGCAGGTCAGGAATTACATAGTAGAATGGAGAGAACGGAAGCTCGATGTGCATAAATCTTGCTGGTATTGCACAAATTTGAGTAAAATAGCGCCGGGCTTCTGGAAGTTTTTTTTGTTACTCAAAAATTACCAACGAGCCACTCAATCGTCCAGTGATTTGAGTCGTTTGTAATCCAGATGTCTGAAAAGACATCGATAAAGGGTTCCCGACGTTGATAACACGGTCGAGAAATTAACCACGTGATTTTCCACTAGTATCATATACTAACTTATGCATATTACAAGCGAATAGTTTATTAATTAAAATTTAATTACAGTAATTCCAGTATTTACATTCTCCAGGCATTAAATATGTTTCGCGCAAACTACAGGTTTATTACACGTATAGTATTAGCTTTTAAAATATTAAAAATCATATTATTATTCGTAGTAGTAAAAAATATTATTCGTTACATTACAACATCGAAAGATATTGTTCTTTTCTCTTCTTAGAGAGGTTAAAAGATTTTGTGCACTTTGAACAATGCTTCACTGTTCTTATCGTAGTGCTGAGTGATTTTTCTCACTCGCTACGAACTCGCAAGACGTTATCAGTATCAGATTACAATAGTTGCGGCATCTGCGGTAATATCTCAATTCCCTCTTTTTTTCTTTTCCGCAACAAAGATCGATGACAATGACAATTAGAATATCAGTCCTCTTCGATCCGATATACTGTCCTATCGAACGTTCGACAAGATAAGATAAGATAGTATAAAACCTACAGTAAGCTATCACGCGCATCAGTTTCTTTTTTTTTTTCTTTTGCGTCACAGTGACCACGAACGAGACGATGGAATACACGGTGCTGCAACAGCGTAAAAAAGCACTGCGCAACGCTTTTTTCGGAATAAACGAAGGAATGTGCAGCGAAGTGGACAGTTGGATGAGCAGGAAACCAAAGTGAGTGCTTTCTCTATCATTTCTCTGGCGACGCGGTGACGTCGGGGCAAAACGGTGAATTACCGACCGCTGGAACGAATTCTCAACGAAAATGTTCGGTTCTGTTTGTCGACGGAAATACCATCGAAACGAACACGTTTCGTAGGAGAGCGTGGGAGAGACGTTTTCTTCCTCGAGCGGACATGTCAATGGAAACATGGCGACGTACATATATGTACGTGGTCGGATATCAGATGTTTGATGAACGCGACTCACGTAGCACGCACGTGTGAAGCGTCAACGATGCAATAAACGGAGGAACGTTTCGCGGGATCTAGCGCGGCTCCATTACCAACACGCACCAAAGTGTATAGAACACGGCCACGATGTGAAATATGCATATTTACCAACCGAGGAATTAACATTTCTATGCTGAAATTAATTTTACGCGCGCCGGTTTGCAGATGCATGTAGCTCGAGGTGTCTGCATATTGCGCACTGAAATATTAAGGGCTGCGTTATCATACGATTATGATTTGGAGAGAGGTCGAAGGGTGAACGTAATTTCGCCTTTCGACCTTTGAGTCAATTTTTGCAACTACGTAACATTCGTGTAACGAGAAAGCAAGATAGGAGCAGTTGCCGCGATTAAAAATAATCGGTCTCTTCTCCAAATTACAAAATTCCATTCTTTTTATATTCAATCTAATGATAGGATAGTTACGAAAATTTCGTTCCCTTTCTAAATTATGAAATTTCATCCTCTCGATAGGTAATCTAATAACAGAAATAGTCACTGTTGAACAAAAAATTTATCTCTTTCCAAATTATAAAATTCCATCCTCTTTATATTCAATCTAATGATAGCGGCTGTGAAGCGATCACAAAACTTCATCCTCTCTAACAGTTATCGCGAAACAAAAAATTCTCTTTTCTGAATCATGAAACCTCATTCTCTCTATATCCAATCTAATGACAGGAACGATCGTTGCGAGAGGAAGGAATTCGTTTCTTTTTCAAATCATAAAAATTTCGTCCTCTCTGTAACCAATTTATTCGCGGGGAATTTGCGATCCGCCTCTCACCGTGTCCCAAATAAACCATAAAATCTCCGAAACGAATGGCTCTCCAGTTACATTAACCAACTTGCTCTTCGTACCAATTGTCGAGGGAAAGGAAGGGAAGAGGCAGGGAAAAAAGTTCACGCCCGCTGAAAACGAAATCGACAGTCCCTCATTCCCAGCCGCAATTTCGTACTCGACGGCCCTCTTCCGTCTCAATTGGACCGGATCGTTATAATCGTTGTTCGGGGATTTGTATCCGCGTCGTCGAGACGGACAGAGGGCAGAGGGATTAGTGGTCGGTGGAAAATGTTCTCGAGCTCAAAGGAAAGCGCGACGGACCGCTATAATGCCGATAAATTCGTTTTCTCTTTGCCGATGAACGTTTGTTTGGTAATGGGCGGCATGTCCCGCGCGCATTTATGACTAGTTTGTTAGCATTCCGTGGCCGGCTTTGTCAACCCGGCGGACCCTGTTATTCCTGTCCGTGCAGAAGAATTTGTCCGACTGCAGGCGAGAGCACCCTGTGAAAACGCGTTTCCACATTCACATAGGCGAGAGTCTTTCAAACTCTGGAACCTGCTCCGGCCGATTAACCCCTTGCGCTGGCAACTGGTTCGCGGACCATAACGAGTGACCAAACCGTATACAATAATTCATCGCTTTCTTTTTGAACTCGTCGATATCACTAGATAGAAATTATTGAGAAGTAATAAACTTGTCATTTCTTTTGCCTGGGTTACATTTCAATATACTTAAAACTGAGAAAATATTGCAATTTGGGGTAAAAAATTCTCGACGTGCGTGGCACGTCATTCCGGCGCAAGAGGTTAATTATTTCGATATTTGTATTTCATACATCCTAAAGAGGATAGTTTGTTCAAAATATTATTTATTTTAATCCCTTGCGCTGGACAAGTGATTGCGGGCCATAACAAGTGACCGAACGGTATACAATAATTCGTCGCTTTCTTTTTGAACTCGTCGATATCACTGGATAGAAATTATTGAGAAGTAATAAACTTGTCGTTTCTTTTGTCTGGGTTACATTTCAATATACTTGAAACTGAGAAAATGTTGCAATTTGGGATAAAAAATTCTCGACGTGCTTAGCAAGAGATAAAAAGCTCGATCCACCATTGTTGGCTCACGTTTCGTTCACTTTGCTGTATGGTATTTCGCACACGCAAATCCTTTTTGACAAAATGAGCGTTTCTTCTTTTTTTCAAATGGTTTGATTATAATTGGTGGATAAAATCGATAAATTACACGGATTGTTATATTTTTCAGAGACATTTTCACTGTGTTGTTTCTTTGTAATATTGCGAAAGAGACTTACACGAATATGTTTGCGACGTGTAACGTTGCTTGTTTATTCAGAAAGCGGAATCGAGAACTTGTTTGGGTACGATGCATCGAATAGACTGCGACGTAATAATGTTTGGAGACTAAACGTGAACAGCACCGTTACTATAATTGAATGTAGTAAACACGACATGAAAGAGAGAGAGAGAGAGAACAGCAGGATAATTTAATTCACTAAATCAGAGCCAATTTAATTCTTTGACGTACAAATTCTTCTTCGTTTGGAAATGAAACGAATTTCTTTAGTTACCGATAATTAAGTAATAAGTATAATTTGAATTCGTCAAGCAAAATGTCTATGTGTAATGATATTTTTGTGAAATGGAAAAGTTAGATATAGAAGATTAGAAAATAGATATCTTCAGTTAAGTCGGGAAATGGGTCACTTGATCTATAATGTATCACTGGATCCGTGATTTCTTCGATAAGAATAAAGGAATAAAGTAGGAGTGAAGTATGAATTAGAAATAAAGTGACAAGTATAACTTGAATTCGCGAAGTGAAACGAAGCATTCGGATTCGTAATTTTTTTAGAAATAGGATTAAAGTAAAAATGAACTAATAATAATATAGTGAAAATGAACGTATAATGAAGTATAATTAAGTATAATAACTTGAATCGGTGAAGCAAAACTATAATCATCAACTATAAATATCAACCTGCACCTATAATTTATATGCTACACATGTGACATTAATAAAAGAAGGAATAAATATATATTATATATTATATAATATATTATTATAATAATATAATAAAAAAAATTATAATATGCTTGTGAAATAGAGAGAGAGAGAGAGAGAGAGAGAGAGAGAGAGAGAGAGAGAGAGAGTAGAGATAGAATACCACTTAGAATTGCACGTGCAACAGCGCTTCTATTTGGGAAATAATTATAATTGCACAGAAATACACCACCTGATGAAATGGCTAACATTTACTCTGTATCAACACATACCTGTGTACATACCTCACGAGGATCGTGAATTCGCGATCGAATCAAATGACAAGGAGCTTATTTGACTCTATCCCCCGTTGTAAATGGAAACTGATACAGCGTGATAGAAATGGAAGGATCGTTTACAGTTTCATGGAATTTGTTATCCGATGCTTCTCGTAATTGGATGGTAGTTACCTCGACGAGCTCAAGCAACAAACTTTTTCCAATTATAACCATAACTTTTCGACAACTTTCGAAAGAAATATAATATAAATGCAGGCGAACGAGAACTCGTAAATTTGAATTTCCAACAAGCGCTGTTTAATTGATCTCGAAGAATGTGTAAGTGAAGCATCGAGCTCGAGCACCGGCGATGGTATTTGTAATAACGAGTTCAGAATAATTTAATTGCAGTGTGTACTCATTATAGGATCTTCTTAATTGTTTTGATAAGTACGTTATATACTTCCAAAGTCTGACGCGCGACGTACAAGTGAGATTGTGACGGAATAATTAGAGCAGCAATAACGGGGCATTTATCGGGGAAATGTTTCCGAAACGTTTCACTTTGCAATAATTGTCAAATACTTCTTCGAGGAAAACTTCGACGAAAGTTTCACTTTTATACCAAAAAACTTCCATGTTGAGGTATTCGAGGAATTCTTTTTCAGAAACAGGAACAAAATATAACGGTATAAAAATTACAATGCCAATGAGTTCTTCATATACACAAAGAGAGAGAGAGAGAGAGAGAGAGAGAGAAAGATCTAAATTCTGAATGTACATTCGAATTGCTGGTTATGCTCGCTGGAACTTCAACTCAAGTACACCCTGCTCTACCTTAAGAGGATTCAATCCTACATAGATGCTCGCGCACACGTGCACGCAATTCAACTGAGAAGCACAGTCTTTGACGCACGTATGTACGTATTCACAGAGTTCTAAGTTTCAAACACAACAACCACACTCCTCTCACAGGTAAGGGTAATCTCCCCTTCTAGTGCACCGTGAACGCGCTATGTAACTGCAAGAGTAATTGCCACCTGTTTAGAACCATTACATTGACTGCAGTTGTAAACGCATGGTACAGCCGTTAAAAAATGACGACACAATTGCTATTGTGTTCGTAAAAGTCGTCGCTAATGAGTACCATATTGGACGCGGGAAAAACTCAACGTCATTTAAACGTTGCTTTTGGGAAACCGAAAGTTAACTTCAATTGCGTGCACGTACACAACTCATGAATGGACTTTAAACAATTTGTTTCAGTAGTCGAAGTTTACGTTTAATTTACGTTGAATCGACGAACAGAAATAAATTTGTGACAACGTAACCAAGCGACAGGGGATTCGAAGACAGATTTAAAAGTTATAATGGTCCACTCGTTGGTTAAAAATTCGGTTCGCAACATTTCAAATTAATCAATGAGAAAAAGTTTTCTCCTAAATCTAATCGTGATATCGCGGCGTGTTGGTTGTGTCAAATGTGTTCACCGCGTGAAAACGACGGTAATCGCGTAGAGAATATCTCTCTGGTGGAACCACACCTGGCTGGTTCGATCAGTTCGCGTAAGGCGCGTTTAGAGGAGGAGATACGAGGGCAACCGTGGTGCCGTGATAAAACGTTCGAGCCGTTACTTGGAAGTTCTTTAGCCCGGGATTGCGATCTAAGTTAAAATTAAATCGACCGTCGGATGATTCGGGTGGTCTGGCGCTCGCTCACGTGAGCCCACTCTGCGAACCTTACGTTCCAGACGCTCTACCGCCAGCGAGCAAGATTTTCCGTTCGTGGCGTGCACCTACCGTACGTGAGCTGAAAGTACGAAACAGCCTAATGCACTTGGGGAACGAGGGCGAGGCACCCTCGCGACGCATTATACGCCGTCGCGCCTTTCCACAACAGCGGGAACCTTTCGTCTACGCGCGCTCCAACTTGCCTCCCCGTGTCCAAGAATTACGAGTCCCAATGCTTTCGTTTAACGGGCCATAAGTATACTCTCTAATGGTTGCTTTTTAAACGACCGCGAAGAATGTGTTTGCTACGTTCCTTTTCTGGATCGATTCTATCGAGCTTTGATAAGTTGACGAGAGCGGAGAAATATGCGAACAGTATTGTAGTGTAAAGAGAGATAATCAATAAAATAACTGTTTTACTTATTATAGATATTAAATACAATATATTAAATAAGTAATACAACACTTTCCGAGGATTTAGTATCATATTAGAGAAAATCTAATAATCAGTGATAAAATAATTGTTTTATAATTGGAAACAATATATTAAATAAATACATCAAAAATATGATTACTCCTCTGAACATTTAGTCTATGCTGATCTTATGATAAAATAAAATAATTGTTTGACTTATTGGAGACAGCGTATCAAATAAATATACGTCGAAAGTATAAGTTCGAAGATTAATGCATTTCTACATCAATTTGTTACATGTCCCTCACTCAGTGCTAAGACGTTTTAGACGTTTCGTAATTTTAAGCGCTCAAGAGGTTAAATCACTCCAATCTAGATAGTACTATTATCGAATAAACATCTCTCAACATTTTTTTATCCATTCAAAACGATCCTTCACTGTATCGAGTGAAATCGCTTTTCCATTATTCGAGAGGGGGAAAAAAAAAAGAAAAAAAATTATACAGCATTCCCACTCAGGAAACGTCCGTTCGTTCGATTTTCGGTCGCGTAAACGTCGAGAAGTTTCTTGCAAAGTCGTGCTTAGCGTCGACCTTCGCCTTTCCAGAGACGTTATTTGTCGCGTGTCTCTGGATCGTGGCGTTGTTCCGGCAAACGAGCTACCACCCTCCACGCCGGGGCCAAATTTTTACGAGCAACATAAAAACCGTCAGCGCGCGACACCGACACCGAAACGGCGGATACGCGGCTTTCGTTACGGTATTTCGGTTACATTTTTCCCCCTTATCCCTTTTTTATCGTTGCTCTTTTTTCGCCGCATCAAACGACGACGTCCGGGAGCAGAAAATATTCGCAGATGGACAAAAACACGCCGCGTACGCGAATCCACGAAGCCGCGTGTACGAACGTGTACAGCGATCGTAAAAAATGGAACGAGAAGAGTTTTCGAGCGATGTAATCCGTCGTGCAACAGATCCCATATTAGATAGCGGGCTAGAATCTAGTTGAAAGAACGAATTTCTGCGTCGATATATGACTCTCCCAATTAAATGACATTCGTTCGCGTTCGAGCCATAAATCGAATAAATTGTTTTCGGGCGGGATACGAATTACTCAAACCGTCTTTGGGACATGTTCGTTAAATGTATGTATGTATATGCGCTAAGGGAAAATTTGAAACCGGGCCATAATCGATCGTTTGCTTGCGATATACCGTTTTGTCAATTTTTTCATTGAAATTTTATAAAACTTATTACGTGTAATTGACGTTCTTATACAGAGTTGTCCCAGCGCCGTGAAAAAATAAGACGAAAAGAAAGGATGAAATTGTGTTTGAGAAAATCAAGTTTGAAAATTTATCAAGTATACGTGATATTTAGCTAATTCTACACTTAACAGAATAGAAGGTTGTTCCACGTGTGAAAATGTGGAATAAAATGTTTTTGCAAGATGCTTCGAGAAAATCGAAAATTTGAAAATTTGTCAAGTACACGTACACCACGGTAACTTCTAACGAAACACGTTCAAAGTCTGTTTACTCGAAAATGAAGCTTTAAATGAAAAAATTTTTCATTTACTCTTGCACATAGACTAATCTTCTCTTAGTTATTCTTCTCAGTTACGTTTAGAATTAGTCAAAGTTCCCTCGATAAGTTTTCAAATCGAAAACAAAGCATCTTACGAAAAAAATTTCATTCTTTATTTTTCCATTCTGCTCGCCTTTATACTTCTATAGTCATCGAAAAAGAAAAGAATTCCTTCGATTTTCACATTTTCTTGATTTGTTCATCGCATTGTTGTCAAATTAATTCCAAGTGTTGTTGTTATTGTTTCTTCAGAGACGAACCCGAGAAGGCGTACGCTACGAGCGACTTGGATCGATACTCGGAAATATATAATATGAAACACAAACGACGAGGCATCGCGTTAATCTTCAACCACATCAACTTCAAGAAGATGCACTCGCGAGCAGGCGGGGAAATAGATTCGAAGGAACTAGCGCAAACATTACATTACCTTGGCTTTGACGTTCGGGTCTATATCGACCCGCCTCTTAAAACGATATCGTCGACGTTGAAAAACGGTGAGTACACGGCGAGACTTCGCAAAGTCTCGAAAGAAGGAGGAGTTTCGTCTTTCGGCGAGTTTCTTTGCTTTCGTACCGTGCGTCATTTCGAGAAACGAACGAAACGTCTATGCTCGACTCTGTTCGAATCATTATTTCAAACTTGACGAATCAACATCTGAAAAGAACTGTTAGACCGATCAACATCTCCGAAAATAATTCGCTAGAAATAATCGTCGATCGACCAACTTCTCCACTCTTTCTTCCAATTTCGAATAAACGTTATCAATCATCGTTCGAAAGTCAATTCTCATCACTTTTCCCCGAAACTTCGCCAAAACTGCGTCAGCTTGACTCGTTTATAGTTTTCGCTCGCGGATTCAATTCTTCCAGTTGGCGCCGGAAGGGTTGAATGCAAAGTCCGATCGATCCGATGAAATGTAATTTTTCCTCGAAGCGACAACATCAAAAACAACGGAAAAGAGAAAGAGAGAGAAAAGGGGAGAAGAAATTTGCAATCGGTTGGTCGACGTGACCGTGTGAAATTGCACGAGAATCATTCGGGAAGTTACGATAAATTCCAGCCGGGTCGTTTCCGCCTCGAAATTTTTCGTTCAAAGTGTGGCAAACTGCTACGATACGAGCGGGCCCGAGGATAACGCGATTTGCCGCGTAAACCGCGTTTCATTCGTTGCCGGGGACAGGCTTTAATCATTTTTCTGCGCTGCTCGTTAAACAGCGGGCAATCCGTAACAACGAACAGAGAGAAAGGGAAAGAGAGAGAGAGATAATACACGAAATAATTCATTTCAACCGTGACTGGGTAACGAATCGCGCATCCATTATTTGAGTAACGTCACTTTGACGTAGCCAGCCATGGGCACGATCCGACCGAAAACGTGACTCTCCTGCGATTGCCTCCTAAATCGAAATGTTTTCGGACCCGTTCAGTTACCTCAAACGGACGTATCGTTGATTTCAATCGCCCGGCTATAATTTCACCCGCATTACAATATTTATCAGCACGTTATAAATGTATCATTGATTGTTACATAGGGTGGACCAAAAGGGTTCCTTCCCATCTATTTTTTTTTTTTGCTAAAATGCCTTTATTAATTAAACAAAATTAAGTACTAATTTAAATTGATCAAAGTTTTAAATTTTCTGTGTACTTTAATCCGTAGAAGAAAATTTTAAAAATATATAATGGAAAAAGAATGATTACAAAATTTATTTCAGCAGGAGGTGATTTCTGACCCACTCTGTATAAATGTGCATGAAATATTTCTCTCTGATTATCAAAAAATACAAGAAGCTTGCTGGTGTGAACGTTGTTTGATTCTGACTCTGGAAGGAAGCTCGATCGAATATATCTCCAAACTGCTTCGGCATCAGAGCATTTTTTTTTTACAAGCGAAGCAAAGCATTTTAGTGATTTATAAGTTATTTGAAAGTGCACTATTGCGAAGCGTATATTTGAACAACAATTTATCGGTTGTCTTCGTGGATATATGTAAATAGCCCGAACACGAACAAGGTTCGGGGGTAATATTTTTCAGTCGTGAAGCCGAGGCTGTACGTATCAAGAACGATTCTTCAAACGGAACACTACGTACCCATACAGCGTACCCATTTCGCTGCGCGGAACAATTCGTTTCGGCGCGTAAATTCACCGCGGATAAATTCATCCTCAACAGGTTTGAACAGAGGCCGCGACAACGAGGTCGTCAGAGGAAGAAACTCTTCTTCTCGAGGACTGGCACGTATTCGTCGCGAAACCGACGTTCCTAAATTCCCTTAGCGCGCGCGCAGAGCGGCGTAACACCGCCGTGAAACTCGCGTGGAGCTCAACCGAGCGTAGACAACCTTTGCCCAACAAATCGTCGGTAAACCTGCCGGGGAAAAGAGGAAGCGAGCCGGAAGCGTAACTGTCCATGGAAAAGTCACCGCGAAACGTTGTGCTCCCGTTCGATTCATTCTTCTCCCTTTTCCTGGCTCCTTCTATTTATCGTTGATCCATTCAAATATTGACACAATAGGCGTCACCGTCGTGTTCGACATACATTTATCAAACGCTTTTGTCGACGTCGAACAAAGATGTTCTTACATTGTCGGGCAAGCGTGAAGCTCGTAAATCGCCCGCCCCTGAATCATCCATAGATCGCGACAAACGTTCTAGAGGGTTTCATTTAAAACGCCTTTTCCACCGGTATTATCCGAGCGGTGAATTTCAATGAACGGCTTTGGCTGCGGTTCCCGTTTTATATCTCTCTCCTCGTTATATCTCTACCACCGTCGAGTCGATGCGCAAGAATGATAAATCGTCTGCCACGGTAATTAGAACGATACGACGAAGAGGGAGGCTTCACCTATTAACATTCAACCGTGAGTGTAAGTCACTCCAAGTCCGATCAAACACGTTTCAGTTTCATTCGGTGGATCAACTCGGCGCATGACAGTACAGCGCGTAGTCACGAGTTTTTGCATCGAAACTAACGTGAAGGAGTAGTACAATTTTTTTTTTTGAAATTGACTTAGCCTCCTCCCGTATTTAGTTTGGAAATGTATTTATTTTTGACAAATGTAACTAGAAACGTGTATATGTGAACCAATTACACGATGGTGAAAATTATGCGTGAACCAGTCGTTAAATAATATTCATTCTCTTCCTAGAAAGTATTCTCGAAAGGAGTTCAATCACCTCAAGGTGGCTCAGCTTAATCGCTCAATCGTATCAGGTAGCAGCTGATTTCGATAAAATTCAGAATCCGATTCAAGTAAGAAATTAAACAGAAAACGCGTTTCGATTCTTCTCTTTTTCGTTTTTTTTTTTTTTTTTTTTCGATTAAACGTTCGCGTCGACGCGTTAAACGATCGCGAATTCGCATCTTTATTACCAAAGTGCCGTTAGAAAATGGAATCAAGCTCATTCGTTTTGCGAAAATATCTCTCGCCTGTGAAAATTAATTTACTGGTGTTTCGAACTTTTCATCGTATTTCCCGATGCGATAATTGTGTTGCAGGCTCAATCTCCGCGGCACCGGCGAAAGTCGATGGACTTTCGCGATTCGAACGAGAGTATCGTTTAGAGGACACTGGGCAGGCAATACTGTTAATAACGAAAGATAACGAAATGAATTTAATATTTAACGATCCAGTCAGGCGGGTTTTTTCCACGTTTGCACGCCTCGGTTTCGAGCCGTAGCGAGGTATTGAAATTATTGATGAAAATGGTTATCGATATAACAACAAAGTCACGTTCGCCGAATGGCCGACGATACCCTGATACGGTTAAACTAACTTTCGGGCATGACAAAATGACGATTGAAAATTCTCGTGCAACCAGAAAGTCGATAGTACGGAATATAGAAATCGAATCGAGAAGAAAAAGTCACGATCCTGTTTAATTTCGCAGCGAGAATGGTGAAAAATACATCCGTGGAAATATTTTGTCGAGATCAATTGTCTTCCTTGAATCGGATCTCTTCTCCGTGAAACATCTCGAACCCCTACGTCGCTTAGAATACAGAAATTTTTGGATAAAATTCACATCACACGCGACAAGGAGGAACGCTGAAAAAGACACGTGGAATGTTTACACGAGATTTTCTCGTCGTCTTCCAATCGTCAAGTCTCCCTTACGAGACATTTCCATTTGCATGCTTGATGCACAGAAAGTATCTCTGCCTTCAATTTTCCCTCCTATCAGAACCCACAGATCCCGAATAAAATCGACGTCAAACGGTTCCCGAATATAATATTTCTACCATGCGTTTCAATCACGCGTTCGAATAAACTCCGTTTGTTCGTTATATTCTTGCTCGGACAGTACGCTCATCGTGTCGCAGACCGTACGATTCGTTCGTAAATACAATTACCCTTCACTTTACGCTCATTTCGATTCTTCCCGTTCCAAGTTTGAATCGCCCCAATTTTCAAATTAGAACAGAATCCAGATTGAATTTCGCGTAATACGAGATTAAGAGCCTGCGCAAACAGAGAAGAATATCGGACGGTCTATAAACATCCCTTTAATCCGACGATGACATTCAATCTTCATTCGCCGGCCAAAACCGCCATTTCCTTTCATCCGGATGGTAAACCTACCCCGAATCGATTGAAGATAAATTGACAGACAGTCGGTCAACCTCGGACAGGGATTTCCAGCTTCTTTGTTCGGCAAATTTTTCTATGAAAAGGCTTGAATAGGCGATAGTGGCCTCTCCTGTCCGCAACGAATCTCACAATCAGCAGAGGTGGTCTTCGTCGAAAGTTTCGCGAGCGAAAAGAAGAAAGGATGACGAGGGATGGTCGGTCGTCCCTTGAACACGATTGTCCGGGCACGGATAATGATGACGTCGATGAATGAACGTTACGAGAAGTTGCACAAACATTTTACAATGAAACGAGCTCATTAAGCGTTCTTCTGCCAGCCCGGTAGCCGATTTCCGGCGACGTACATACATATATACAACTAACAGAGAGACAATCACGCGAAATATATGAGCGTGGGCGTAGTAGAGCGGAAAGTCGGACGATCGCGGAACTTTATAATAAGCGGGGGAACTTTTCATACTATGCCGGGAGTCTGGTACGCGTCAAGATATACTGCGTTTCGTTTATGGCCGACTCTTTCCTTTTTTCCCTCTTCTTTTCCTCGCTGTTCGTTCTGCCGTCTTCCGACACCGATCCTCCGATTCGCTCGCCTTCTCATTCATTCTCTGCCGAGTTTCAAAGGCAATAAGGGAGGCTGAATGTCACTAAGTACTTTATACACTTGGTAATCTGCGATAATTAAATGTGAACGTGACCGGAAGTGAGCGTCGAATGGAAAGACTCTACGCTGCGAGGAATTTGTATTCGGAGCTACGAACCAAGTGTCGAACAGACACTTGCGTATGCAAGTTATATACCTTTGTTTCACGAATTTACACGATCAATTTGAAATAAATTTCTAGTTTTTCAATTTCGCTACCGTTCCTTTAACGAGAGGTTCATTTTATCATTGAACATACACA